CAACCTGTACATCTCCCCCTCACTGCTATCATCTCCCTACTATTTCTCTCTTCACCTCCCCAAAATGCCTCTTCCACTCCTCCTTCTCATTTTCCTCTCCTCCATTCCCAAAATCCATTCACTATATCCCTCTGCCCCTCCCAAACAATTGTATATTGTGTCCTCACTGCTTCCTTCGCCCCTCTATGGCACCCACCACCTCCTCCTATTACTCCGCTCTCTCCCACTGACCCCAACACCTCCACTAGTAGTTTCTCACGCTCCTGCACATCCCGCTCCCATGCCACCTTTCTCACCCTTCTCCTCCTAGCCGCAGGGGACATCTCCCCGAATCCTGGCCCTCCACCTCCCTCACCCGCTCAACACCCCTCCCACCTCCACGTCCTACTGCAACCCCCACAACTTAGTATCTGTCCCCCCTGCTCCCTAAAATCTCCCCCCTGTTTTTATGTGCACTCCTGAACGCCCGTTCGGTGTGCAACAAGCTTACCGCCATCCACGACCTCTTTGTTTCCCGCTCCCTCAACCTCCTAGCGATCACGGAAACCTGGATCCAGCCCACTGACTCTACCTCCCCTGCTGCACTCTCCTATGGAGGTCTCACCTGGACCCACTCACCCAGGCCTAACGGTCGTAAAGGTGGTGGGGTTGGTCTGCTCTTGTCACCGCAGAGCACCTTCCGAGTCCTCCCAAACCCCCCCTCCCTATCCTTCTCCTCCTTCGAGGCCCACTGCGTCCAACTATTCTCCCCAACCCCCCTGAAGATTGCTGTGATATACCGGCCTCCTGGATCTATACCCCGCTTCCTGGATGACTTCTCCTCCTGGCTACCCTTCTTCCTCTCCTCTGAGCTACCCACCATCATCCTTGGGGATTTCAACATCCCTGTCAACCTCGACAACCCGGACACAGCCCGTCTCTCCACCTAACCTCCTCCTTTGCACTTGCACAGTGCATACAATCCACCACCCCCACTCTGACGGAAATATCCTGGACCTTGTCTTCTCCAACCGCTGCGCTCCCCACACACCTCACTAACACCCCCTTCCCTCTCTCTGACCACAACCTGATCACCTTCTCTATCTCCTCGTCCTCCAACGCCTACCCCTCCAAATGTCACACTACTACCAGCTGTAACCTCCGCAAACTTAACCCTGCCTCCCTCCACTCTGCAGCTGACCAACTCCACGACCGCATCCTCCCCCTGTCCTGCCCCGACTTGGCTTTGACCGCCTACAACAATGTGCTCTCAACAGCCCTTGACTCACTAGCGCCTTTAACCACACGCAACATCAGACCCCGACCGCTCCAGCCCTGGCAGACTGATCAGACCAAAACCCTCAAACGACAAAGTCGTGCCCTGGAGCGACTATGGCGCAAAACCAAATCCCAACAAGCCTTCACCCGCTATAAATCTGCCTTCCGCACCTACACCTCCTCCCTCCATGCTGCCAAACAGGCCTACTTCTTGACCCTCATCAAGGCCCTCTCCTCCTCCAATCCTCGCCGACTCTTCTCTGCCTTCAACTCTCTACTCTCTCTCCACCCCCACCTCCACCCAGCACCTCACTCACTGCCCTTGAGATTGCCAATCACTTCAAAAACAAGATTGACACAATTCGCAAGGACATTGCCGCAACTCACACGCCTCTCAACCCGTCCCCTCTCACACAGCTACCCCCTTATCCCCCCTCCCCCTCGACATAACCCGCAGGGACTTCGTCGCTGCTCAAACTCTCTCCAACCCCCTTCACCCTCACTCAGCTACCCCCTCATCGCCCCTCTCCCACGGCCCCACCACTGCTCTGACCTCCTCTTCCACCCCACCCTACATTCCTCATACGGAAGCTCCCCCCACACTCCGCACCTTTGACCTTACTACCATCGAGGAAGTCTCCAAGATCCTCTCTGATGCCCGCCTCACCACCTGCCCCCTCGACCCTATCCCCTCACAACTCCTACGACCTTCCTCCTCCTCCATCCTACGCTCCCTCACCCACATCTTCAATCTCTCCCTCTCCTCAGGCACTTTCCCCTCCCCTCTGAAACTTGCACACATCACCCCCATACTTAAAAAGCCCTCCCTGGACCCCAATGACCCGAACAACCTCAGACCCATCTCCCTGCTCCCATTTACATCTAAACTCCTCGAGCGCCTAGTCTACACCCCCGCCTATGCTCTCACCTCAATGACAACAACCAACTCCTCGATCCCCTACAGTCCGGGCGAAAAAACTGCCTTACTCAAACTCTCCAACGACCTGCTAACCGCCAAAGCTAATGGCCACTATTCAGTGCTCCTACTCCTTGACCTCTCTGCGGCCTTCGACACAGTCGACCACCACCCCCTCCTCCTCAAAAAACTACACTCCCTCGGCCTCAGAGATTCTGCTCTCTCCTGGCTCTCATCCTACCTGTCACAACGCTCCTTCAGCGTTACCTATAATGCTACCACCTCCTCCCCTCACTCCCCCTCTCTGTTGGGGTCCCTCAAGGCTCTGTCCTCGGGCCCCTTCTCTTCTCCATCTATACCTCCTCCCTTGGCCAACTCATACACTCTCACGGCTTCAACTACCACCTCTATGCCGACGACACACAAATCTATCTCTCAACCCCCCACCTCACCCCCTTGGTCTCTCAGCCCGAATCACACACCTACTGAGCGACATATCAGACTGGATGTCGCTCCACTTCCTTAAATTGAACCTCTCCAAAACCGAGTTTGTCTTCCCCCCAGCCCGGACACCACCCCCCATTGATTTCTCCGTCACATCCAACAACGCTACCATCAAACCCGCCCTGCAGGCCAGAGTACTGGGTGTCATTCTGGACTCCAACCTATCCTTCCAGCCCCAAGTCCAATCTTTAACAAACTCGTGCAGACTCCACCTCCGCAACATCGCCAAAATCCGCACGTTCCTAACCCCAGAAACCACTAAACAGCTCATCCACTCCCTCATCATATCACGACTCGACTACTGCAACTCCCTCCTCACTGGCCTGCCTCGCCGCTGGCTATCCCCGCTTCAGTCCATCCTGAATACGGCTGCCAGACTCATTCACCTTTTCAACCGCTCTGTCTCCGCCACCCCCCTCTGCCAATCCCTCCACTGGCTTCCGATTGCGCAACGGATCAAATTCAAAATCCTAACGCTGACGTACAAAGCTGTCCACCATACTGCCCCCGAACTACATCACTGACCTAATATCCAAGTACCACCCAGCACGCACACTCCGCTCCTCACAAGACCTCCTTCTCTCTAGTTCCCTGGTCTCCTCCTCCCATGCCCGCCTCCAGGACTTCTCCAGGGTGTCACCCATCCTCTGGAATTCCCTGCCCCAACCCATCAGATTATCACCTACTCTCCTCTCCTTTAGGCGCACCCTGAAAACCCATCTCTTCAGGGAAGCCTACCCCACCCCCTGCTAACTTGCCGACCTCCTCCACTCTTCCTACCACTCCATCCCCCACAGCTATCTCCTCCTGTGCCACCACCCCCTCCCTCCTAGATTGTAAGCTCGAAAGAGCAGGGCCCTCGATCCCCTCATGTTTTGCATTGTATTGGTATTGTTCTGTCACATGTTCTGTCCCCCTTTGTAATGTACAGCGCTGAGCGAACTATTGGCGCTTTATAAATACTGTATAATAATAATAATAATAATAAATAATAATAGTATGTATCTTCTGCAATAATGCTCTATTTGCTTGAAATTCTTTGTTTTGTACCTTTAGCTCCAATGTAAAGTGGTAGTAAAGTCTATCATGCTAATATATATACCTACAGGTAGGCCCTATTTACCAGTGCAGCATCCGGTGATGTCACTGGCGCATGCACACTGCACTTTGAATGGACGGTGCCATCTATTCAGAGAGCTGTGCCACAGCCATGACTCCCATGCATGCCGTGACATCATCGCGACTCAGTCATTGAAATGGCCGAAGCCTGTGAACCTGGAAGGAAGACCAGATGAAGATGGAATCACCGGGACTCGTGACAGCGACCTGCTAGAGTGTTTTGTTCTCAGGTAAGTCTATCATAATGTGCTAGTATGCGGTACACACACTGACACATTATGACATTACCTGCCCCCAATTTTTTTTTTTTTTGCATTTACTACTGATTTATTATTTTTAAAACATACTTTATGTACATTTAGGGTTTTTATTTGATACACTGCAGCTTTTATTATAGGGTGACAAATGCACTATTTTTCAAATAATTGATTTGAATTTCTAATAGTGTAACTGTATCCCACAGCTGAACTATTAAATACATGACAATGTAACTGACCATTGCAGATAGTAGGTGGCAGGGTTTACCTGCAGGCATTCATTCTTTTCAAAGGAGTCTTCAGCCTTTGATCAATATGTCAAAACTGACAATTACCACATGATCAGGAACCACACTGATCCCAATTGTCAGTGGGGACCCGGGGTGTCACTGATGGCAGAAATTGAGAATCAGCAGCCGCACAAGGTGTCAATTGCTGGTTTTAAATGGAGAGAATGTATGTTAATGTATCCTTGGTTAGGGACATCTTGGCAGGAAATGTTAATATACAGACTGTAAGTAGGAAGGGGTTGATGCGAAGCACAAGTTCACTTTAACCACCTTCCGCCCGCCCAAGTACAAGGACGGGAGCAAGGTGGTTCTCTCGTTCTGATAGGACGTCATATGACGTCCTACCCATTCTCACTGCGCATGCGCGGCTCAGGGAGCGCGCAGCGTGGCAATCGCCGGTGCACTGTGTCCCTCGGACACAGCGGATCACGGAAAGAGCCGAAGATGTCGGCTCGTCATGTGATCAGTTGTGTCCAATCACAGCTGATCACATGTAAACACGGAAATGCTGGTTATTGGCATTTCTCTCCTCTTGAGCTCTCACACTGACAGTTCGAGAGGAGAGCCGGTAATCGTCTTTCTGCAGAGGGGACATGTACACTGATCATCAGGGCACTGATGATCAGTGTGCCCGGATGATCAGTGTGGCCCCAGAAGTGCCACGTGCCAGTGCCCATCAGTGCCACATGCCAGTGCCCATCAGTGCCACATCAATGCCACATATCAGTGCATACCAGTGCACATCAATGCCACATATCAGTGCCCATCTAAGCTGCCTTTCAATGTCACCCATCAGTGCCAGTCAGTGCCACCTATCAATGCCAATCAATCAGTGGCACCTATCAGTGCTGCCAATCAGTGTCGCCTATCAGTGCGCATCAGTGTCGCCTATCAGTGTGCATCAGTGTCGCCTGTCAGTGCCGCCTATCAGTGCCAGTCAGTGCCCCCTATCAGTGCCAGTCAGTGCCGCCTATCAGTGTCATGTATCAGTGCTGCCTTTCAGTGCCCATCAGTGATGCCTGTCAATGCCCATCAGTGCAACCTACCAGTGCCTCCTCATCAGTGGCCATCAGTGCCACCTATCAGTGTCCATCAGTGCAGCCTATCAGTGCCCATCACTGCAGCCTCATTATGCACATCAGTGAAGGAGAAAAATCACTTATTTACAAAATTGTATAACAAAAACTAAGAAAAAACATTTTTTTTCCAAAATGTTCAGTGGTTTTTGGTTTGTTTAAGAAAAAAATAAAAATCCCAGAGGTGATTAAATATCACCAAAAGAAAGCTCTATGTGTCTCAAAAAAATGATAAAAATGCCATATGGGTACAGTGTTGCATGACTGCGCAATTGTCATTCAAAATGTGACAGCGCTGAAAGCTGGAAATTGGCCTGGGCAGGAAGGGGGTATAAGTGCCCTGTAGGCTAGTGGTTAAAGAATATCTAAGCCCACAAACAAGAATGTAAAACATCGCAGCTTACCAGTACTTACAGTACAGTCCTAGTGTGACAATGTTCACTCACTGTACTGTATAGATGAAGAAGCACCAGGACTACAAAATACCCCCCACTCTCCTTTTTCAAGAACATGGGGGAGGGGTTCTGTAGACCACAGGAAAAGCTGTGAACAATAACAACTGATAAGGCTGTAGAACAAGCAGAGCACAGGAAGTTATTAGATCATAAGATTTCTATCAAGATTTCTGTTTGAACAACAGGTATGTTTTTGCACTTATTAAACACTTATGACAAAACTCTCTCTATAACATATTTAACAGACAAAACAGACCTAAGAAAACAAAGAGGAAAGTAATTGTTATGCTGCGTACACACTATACAACTTTTTGCCGGTTCCCGATGGCTACCTCCCACCCGACATTGTTTGACTAAAACACTGGTCTCCAAACTGCGGCCTGGGGGCTTGAGATGGTCCTTTTCTTGCCTTTATCTGGCATTTAGGGCACTATTTCCCCAACCAACACCAATGATGGTGCACATTTCCCCCTACGGACACCATCAAGGGGCACTATTCTTCCCACTCGTACCTACAACATGGCACTATTCCTCCCATTAAAACAGATAATGGGACATTTTCTACTCCCATTTGCCAAAGTCTGGCCCCCTGAAGTCTTAAGGACAGTAAACTGGCCCTTTGCTTAGAATGTTTGGAGACCCCTGTACTAAAAGATCAAAGGAGTGAATCAATCAGAAGAGTGAATTAATCAGAAGCAGCTTCTGTTCAGCTATTTAGACAGGTGCCAAATGCAGCTGCCAGAATTGCCATAAAGCATGGATGGGGGATTGTGTTTAAATATTTTCTTTCAGCCTGTAATCTGCATGTATATGCCCACCTCCAGGGTTTACGTACACTTAAAACATAAGTTCACTTTTGGGAACAAGTTACTTTTTCCATCCGTTTTTATGGTGGAACATGTTTTTGCTCCTGAAGCTCTTCCCCTCCCCCCGTGACAGCGGGCCAGAGATCTTCCCACACCCGCTGTCACATTTTGAAAACAATGTGGCCGTGCAGGTCTTCGCCCACACAGCCATGGTATTTATTTACAAAGTTCTGTGAATGAATGCCTACAAGTACCGCCAGCCTTTGCAGCTGACAACGTGCAGTTCTCAGTGAACTGTGAGGGCACTGATAAGTGCTTTTGTAGTCCATCGAGCTTCCTGTCATTCAGTTACTGCCTGTATGTATCAAAGGAGCCTGACACTGCACCTGTGATCTGCTGATTGCGAGTGCAATGCTTTACAGGCTCCTAAGAAAAAAAAAAAAATAGTAAATGCATACTTTTTACCTGCAAAAAATGTGTATTTATTATTTTGTTAAAAAGGCAAACTTATCCTTTAACTAGTTGCCGACCGCAGATAGCCAAATGACGGCTGCACTGCGGCCGGCCAATTCCGGGAGGGCGTCATAAGACGTCCTCCCAGAACGCGCTCTCCTGTGCGCCCCCGGGGGCGCGCCCCCGGCGATCTCCGTGATCGCTGTCTCCTACGGACACAGCTGATCACGTGATGTGGTAAAAGGCCAATCACAGCGGCCTTTTACCACGTGATCAGCCGTGTCCAATGACACGCAGATCACTGGGAAATGCAATTGCCGGTTCTCGGCTGCACTTTCCTCACGCTGTCAGAGCGCGAGGAAAGTACTGCCGAGAACCGGCAGTTGTCAGAGCGGGGATCGGCACCGATCATCAGGGCACTGATGATCACTGATGATCAGTGCCCTGATGATCGGTGCCCAGCAGTGCCACCCACCAGTTCTGCCCACCTGTGCCCAGCAGTGACGCCCACCTGTGCCCAGCAGTGACGCCCACCTGTGCCCAGCAGTCTGTGCCACCAGTCAGTGCCCAGCAGTGCCGACAGTCAGTGCCGACTATCAGTACCCATTATCAGCGCCGCCTATCAGTACCACTTATCAGTGCCGCCTATCATTGCCACCTATCCGTGCCACCTCATTAGTGCCGTCTATCAGTGCCCTTCAGTGCTGCCTATCAGTGCCGCCTATCAGTGCCCATCAGTGCTGCCTCATCAACGCACATCAGTGCCCTGTTTGCAAAAATTTTATAATAGAAACAAAGAAACTTTTTTTTTCAAATTTTTTGCTATTTTTTTGTTTATAGCATAAAAAGTAAAACACCCAGCAACAAGTAAATACCACCAAAAGAAAGCTCTATGTGTGAGAAAAAAAAATGATAAAAATTTCATATGGGTACAATGTTGCATTACCACGCAATTGTCATTCAAAGTGTGACAGTGCTGAAAGCTGAAAACTGGCCTGGTAAGGAAGTGGGTAGTGCCCAGTAGGCGAGTGGTTAAAGCAGGCATGTCCAAAGTCCGGCCCGTGGGCCATTTACGGCCCGGGGGTCGGTTTAATACGGCCCTCCAACAGCCCTCCCTGCTCTGTGTAATGTGGCCCTCCCACGGCCCTCCCTTCTATGGCAGACAGTCTTCTGCTTGAGAGAAGAGGGCAGTGCGCATGCCTGACTGCGGCGCATTCTCCCTGGTCTGTGTAAATGCGGCTGTCGCACGGCCCTCCCTTCTGTGGCAGACAGTCTTCTGCTTGAGAGCAGTGCGCATGCGTGACTGCACCACGCTGGGAGCGACAGAGGGCGGTGTCGTCAGGGCCGGGCTTCCAGCGTGAAGTGTGTTTCTCTTCCCCTCCCGGCTGCTGAGCAGAGACTTCAGCTCCAGCTACCTTTTTTACCCTTCACATTAGTGCAGGTAAGTTTTTTTAAAATTTATTTTCAATACATTGTGAAAACTCAGCTGTCAGTTGATCTTAATGTTATGAAATGAAAAGTATGTCGTTTGCAATTAACTTGGCATAAAATAATTTATTTGCATTTAATTGTAATGGTTCAAAGAATGTTCGGAAAAATGTTTGGCCCTCCACCATGTTCACTTCATCCAATCTGGCCCTCTTTGAAAAAAGTTTGGACACCCCTGGGTTAAAGAGTATGTAAACCCAACATTTCATATTCCTGATATATGCCAGTTGTACCATGTACTTGTATGAAAATGTATCCTGTTCTCTTTTTATTACTTCCTTTGTATAAAATCCCAGGAGTTCCTGCCAGTCCCTCTGCTTTCCTATTAAAAACTTACCACACTAGGCAGGACAGCATAGCTTGGTCAGTTCTCTAGCTGGGAACTCAGTGTGCTCTCCTCTAATGATCAGACTTGTCCTCAACACCCCCCCCCACACACACACACACACACACACACACACAACATTCACTTCACTGGAAGATCAGTGTCCTGTGGTTTCTCCTCCCTGAGCTCTTATACAGCTGAGAACAGAGGTTATGTTATCATTTATAAAAAGGGAATAAAAAACGTGTATTTTTTTTTTTTTAATATATAAACAAATGTTTTTACTTTCATTTAAGCTAATAGGTTATTATACAAGGTAAGGGTTTACATATACGTAAACGTTTGGCAGGTGATCATGTAAAAAAAACCCTATAGCTCCATCTGCTGGCTGGAAATAGTAAATATGAAATGTGCAATACTTTTTATACCTAACAAATTAAAAATATATTTTTTTTTTGTTATGATAAAAAACAATAAAACTGAACTTTTAGCAGGTAATGTATACATAAACAGCAAAATTCAACTGTTACATATCAATAACAAATAATTCTTTACTTCTGTAATTTTTCTAGGGGTCCATCCATAAATAATTAGCACAGAGGGGCTGACGTGATGTCATGATACTCACTTCCAAATAGTTTTGCACGCCAAGAACTGCTTGGTTGGCCGTTGTCCTCATCACTCCTCTAAAATCAGAAATATATAATTCAGGCCAATTTCCGGACAGGCAGACACAAACTGCAAGTACCCCAGACAACAGCATATATAGTACATCTGATCTACATTAGCACTGTTGTTCTTTTTGCTACTACAGACTTTGCATACAGCAAGAACAACTGTAGCATAACCTCAGGACACAAAAAATCTAGAGGGTCGTGTGTGTGTGTGTGGGGGGGGGGGGAGGGTATAAGTACAAATACTTTATTCCTTGCTCCCCCCAGGGGTAGCGCACGTATCCTCTGTAAGACGTACCGGAACATTGCTACTCCTGCATTGTAGTGCTGTTCCTTCTTTGTACATGATGAAGTCAGAGAGCTGTGACCTGCCTGACAGTGAAGTTGTTTCAGGTGACTAGTTGCCTGACAGGAGTAGGCTTACAGGAGCGATGAATAAAGGCAAGTATCCATCCTGTTTTTATCCCACTAGCCAAACAAGTGTTTGGAGTGGAACTTTAAAGCTGAAGTACGGACAAATTTTTTTTGGCCATATGCACAGTAAAAAGAAAATAGCCGTTATGACATGTGCTCCATCTCTGGCTGCTGCAGCAGCATTTGTTACTCTTACTCCCGCATCCCGGAGTCGGTATTTAAGTTGTCCACACACTGATTGAAATCTGGCTGGTCCAGTAGAGATTTTCTGTCGATTAGTGGCTGCAGATCAATGTATTCTAAGAA